CATTCCCCTCCAAAGCGTGGTGCAGCCATCCACGCCTGGGATCCAGCTCTTAAGGCGCATTTTCTGGCCATGTTGGTGGCATTTGGTTTGATCCAGGGATGGCGGTGTCTGCTTCCTCTCTAGGAAGAGTGATCCCAGGCTGTTACTATGTAGTCTGAGGGTGTCGTGGGCAGCTCTGGAATGCCACAGCACCCAGGGACAGACCTCCAGGGACAGACCCCCAGGGGTACTCTGCCATTGGCCTCTGTCAGGGTCTGTCTCCTCAGCACCTCCAGCCAAGGGCCTGACACACAACAGGTGCTCAGGTGAGCAGGTGGCCACAGGTGCCTAGTTCTTATCCTTCACCAAACAGGAAGTGCTAAAAATAGCCATTTCCGGAATTCAGCAATACAGTTTGTAAACTGCCGTTCCAATGAACTGCACTAAGATTAAATAAGGATCCTGTGTTGTTATTTACCTCCTAAAAGAGAGGGGTTTAGATTTCTCAAAGATTTGTGACACAAACCAATCTTAACTTGATTACGTCTGAAAAACGCTGTTTCCAAATGAGGTCACATCTGCAGGTGCCAGGGGTTGGCACTTTCTGCATGTCACCTGTGAACAGAGACCAAGCCAAGGAAAAAGCATCGTGAAACTTCTCCCCGACTGGAAACAGAACCTGACCTGACTGGGATTCTTACTGGTATTCTGAATCCACTTTCCGCAGTGGATTCTGAGGTTCACTGGTCAGGCGCAGCAGCCGAAAGCCGGGAACAGATGCAGACACCTCACAGCTTTCCTCCTAGATTGGGTTGCTATGTGCCGATTCCAGGAACACAAGATAATGTGATCAGGTCCGAGAACAGCTTGTAATATTGGTACCCAGTCGGGCTGCCTATTTGTTTGATTTAGTAAATTCCCCTCTCTGCTTTTATACACAGTGACCTAAAAAGAAATATTATTCCCCAGAGCGCCTTTGGGATTGTTTGTTTAAATTAAGTTTCATTTGGATTTAATCTTAACCAAATCTTCAGAGAGCCACGAAGGCGCCCCATAATGAAGTGTGGACGCCGGAGCCAATGAGCGTGGCTTCCAGACCTCGCGTCTCCCCCAGTCCACGGGGCCCCGTGATGACACACTTGGGCGGCAGGAGCCAAGTGCCGCGTGATTAGTTTATGGTGGAGATCATTGTGTTTTTATTACACTCATAAAATCTGTGTTTTTCCTCATTTTCATAATGGCTTCCATGAGCTTCTCTGCCTTCCGAAGGCACATTAAGTTGTTCTGTGATGGAAGTACTGATTTGGCGGAGCAGGTTAGAAAGCCTGAAAAGCTTCAAGAAACATGCACTGAATTCTCGTCTTGTGTTGGATGGGCGCTAAGGAGAAAGGAAGTGTGTGAGTTTGAGCGTAATTCGTATTTATTTGTGGACTTTTCGTAAATGTTCGGTTGGTTCCTTAGCTTTGGACATCCATGATACACAATGACCCGCCCTGAAGGTATTGACTCTTTCAGCCCCATGAGAACACAAATAATATTAAAAGTGGAAAATGTCACACGTGTCTGGTTTTTAAAATGTAAAGGGGGAGTTCAGTAACACGCACTGTGATGACAGCATTTTATATTTGAGATAGGTGTGTTTTTAAAATAACAAGACTCTTTTTTTGAAGGTAGGGACCATGGCTTCCTCTTTCTTTATTGGGCGCTTTGTAGATGCCACGCAGGCCTAAAAGTCACACTGTTAAATAATTATTTAAAAACTGACCGGGACGAAGGTTCTGATCCAGAACTCTAAACCAGAGCAAAAAGGAATGGGGGCGGTGGGCATTCCTCCAACATCACCAAAACCCAGAAAACGAGGATCCTACGCTCCTTCGAGGGCCAAATCCAGGCGTGGGCCCTTGGGCTAACCTGCATGTGTCTCTGACTGCATCACACTCAGAGTAAGGTAACCAGCAAGGGGCTGGAGGGAACGGCCAGCCGAGTCCAGACATGGACAGAAGGAACTGGAAGGAGGACGGGAAACGGACAGGCACTGTCCAGCTGTAGACAAGAGAGTGCAGCTAAGGCAGGTCGAGGGGCAGGGGAGAGGCTGGGGGAGCGGTATTGCAGCCATGCAGGAATGCAGCCCCGGGTTCTGTCCTGAACGGCTGGCCAGGGTAGCAGGTGTCAGTCCCCAGATGGAGCTCCTGACCTGAGCCCAGGCAGAGGGCTCACACATGTGGGTCCCCTTGGTGAGCGGGGGCTCCTCATCCACCAGCCTGGACTTGAGGTGCTCCTTGGAAGCCAGGATGTCTCCAGGCCCCTTGGTGATCATCCGCTTCTCACAGACACAAACTTCCCGTGCAGCCTGCTGAATGAGTGACCAGCATCATACCACCCTCAAGCTCATGGATGGCATCTGCCAGGGCGTCCATAGTCTCAACGTCCAGGTGATTGGTGGGCTTGTCCAGGAAGAGCACGTGTGTGGGGTCCTGCCAGGCCAGCCAGGCCACACACACTCGGCACTTCTGCCCATCTGGCGAGTTCGGGTCGGGCTCACCTGCTGTTTCCCAGCGATCTTCCTCATTTCTTCCTTCTCCTGATCTCCGGGCAGGGCTTCATCAGGTACTCCAAAGGCAAGCGCTCCAAGTCCAGCTGCTCCCATGAATGCCAACGGTCCTCTCGATGTGTTTTCGGAACCTGCCGTCCGTGGGGCGTAGCTCTCAGGTCAGCAGCTTCATCGTCCCTTCCAGGGCCACTGGTGCGTCAGGGTCAGTTCCGCATTCTAGATGATTGGAGGGGCAAGGCCCGTCTTGTGTATACCCGAAGCTCACATTTGCGCCATAATGGCAGGTGGCAGGATCTTGCCACATGGTGGGAAATAAAATGACAGCGTCTCGTCGCCCAGGACCCTCTCTGTCAGTCCTGAGGCCACGTTTTCTGTAGTGTCTTTTCCTTGCCCTGGGCCTGCCGGGCCAGCTTGGCACTGCCGTGACCAGACCTCATAGTGTAGTTCTTCATGTGTGCCATCTGAGCTTGCCCCAGTGAAGCCTCTTCACCTGGCTCTCCTCCAGGCCACGGCTTCACACACGGATCATAATTACTCGCGTAATGCTTCAGTCTCTTGTCGTGCATGTGACTACGTTGGCACAGACGCCATCCAGAAAGTCCTCGGATGGGAGACGAGGGCCCAGATGCGCTGAAAAGGTTTAGTTCTTCCAGCCACACGCAAGCATCAGGTCCCGGTCCAGGTGGCTGGTGAGCCCTGCAGCAGCACGAAGGGCTGGATGAAGAGGGCTCTGGCAAGGGCAGCCCTCATCCTCCACTGGAGCCTTGTAGCTTCTTGCACCGCATGGCAGGTGCGACACGCAGTCCGTGCAGGATCCGCGAGGCCTCGCTGCTGCCGTGTCGGCATCCAGCTCCTCCAGGCGTTCACGGAGCTCCCCGAGCTTCTCACACTCCGCGTCCTCGTGAGCAGCCACTCCGCCTCCCTCTCCAGCATGGCCCGCCCTGTGTCAGCGCCCACCACACGCAGCAGGGGTGTCTTGTCACCAGGGGCATCTCTCGAGTCAGATGGTAGATGTCGAGGTGCTCAGGGATGGGCACTTCACGTTTCCCAATCGCAGAGAGCAGCACTGACTTTCCAGTTCCGTTTACGCCAATGAGGCCGTAAGCACGGCCTGAGCGTAACTCCGGTTTGGTGTCGCTGAGCAGCTGCCGACCGTGCAAGGTGAGTGGGGGGCGGCTGATGTGAACGTCGGGACTGTCGGGGTAAGAGGCCAGGGCGCCGGCGAGGCTCGACCAGCTGCTTGCCTCCTCTCAAAGTCCTCGAGCTCTTGGTCAGCAAATCCACGTCTGTGGTCTCTCTGCCACGGCCTCGTTTTCCTCCTCTGCTGCCTGTGGTTCTGTGACAGCAGCTTCATTTTCTTCACGGCCTGTTCTGGGCCGCTGTCCAGCTTGGGCCGCCTTGGCTGCCTTCTTCCTGGCCTGGTCAGAGGCAGGACGATGACCCGCGGCGGGAGTCACTGTTCTTTCGGGGAGCTGGGCCTCCCACTCGGCCTCTGTCGCAGAGCTGCTCCTGGCTTCCTCCAATAACAAGATCTTAATTGGATTTTTATATCTGTTTTTAAAAGAAACAGAAACTCTCTTGGACACCAAATTTACATGTAAATGCAGTTGCTTGTAAACATTTCTGCCAAGTTAATGTAATCCATTGCAGAAAAAGCAGACCCCTCTTCGCTCTATAATTTAATATGCTAATAAAAATCTACAAATGCCACATGAGTGTGCCCCACAGGATTAATGGTTTTGGGTAATTAGGCTGTAAATGTTAATATGGAGGTTTACAGCCACAAATAGCCAGTTGTGTTTGCAGAGAAACGAAGTCGGAGGACTTTGTGTCTTTGTGATTTCTGTGTTTAAATGTGCTTATGTGTGTTTATTGTGTTTCAGTGTGGCAAATAAGAATTAGTAAATCAATTTGGGATTTTCTTTAATGTGAATAGTGTTGTGATATTTCTATGTAAACCAAAGAAATTCCAGCAGGGCAATGTTACTTTTTGTGACGTACTTTGAAAAGAAGCCTTTCGGAGGCCGCGTCTGACAGGACAGCAGTTTCACGAAGCAACACGCTTCTCTAGGTGTGCAGAATTATGCCAGCCACAGCAAGTGACGGTGTCCGCCAGGTTCTGCTCACGCCGCCTCGGGAAGTGCCCGCCTGTTGGCGGTGATGTGTGTGTTATAGAAAGTTTCCTTTACAGATCAAAAGCTGGAAAGCCACGTGGCTGAACCTAGAACAGAGTAAGCTCTAACATGTGGGATAAATTTGTTAAGTTTTTAGCATTTCATGGAACATGCAAGCTGTGAGCCAGTGCACTCAGAGATGCTCAGGCAGCCACAGAGTGGACGTGTCTGATCAAAATGAAATCAATGTCCTGTGGATGGAGTACATGTGGGTCGTGCCTCTGAGTGCAGTAACGACACATGTTACGTGGTGATGAGATGGTCACACCGCAGCCATGGGCCTTCTCTGTCCACAGATGGTGTGGGAGAGCGGCTGCGTGGTGATCGTCATGCTGACACCCCTCACGGAGAACGGCGTCCGGCAGTGCTACCACTACTGGCCGGATGAAGGCTCCAACCTCTACCACATCTATGAGGTACTCACACCAAAACCACCTGGGCCGGGACCTGCCCACTGGGCGGGGAGCACTGGGGCCCACTCCTCCTTCAAGTGGGATCTTAGGGCCCCATGCAGGGAGGGTCCACGCCCCCCACGATGAAGGGATCAAGGCTGAGCCACCCCCAAGGGCCACGCTGCCCGTGTGGATGCTTCCCACATCTGTGTGGTCATGAAGCAGACCCTGCGAATGTGGTGCGGTTTTCACTTTTTAGGTTTTCTAAATCCAAAGGCTGCCTAGAAAAAACACCTGCCTGAGAGCATGCTCCCGTCCCATATAACAGGCCTTTAAGTGGGGTCTGTTTTTAAAAAGAACCCTGCCTGCTACCATCCTAATTGCTTATTGATGCCAGCACCTGAGCCTGTGGCCTTCCTGTGGCTCTACGTGGAGTTTTGTGGCTGGATCATGTGACTTTTTATTTGAGGGTAACCTGCTGACAAGTTTATTCTGTTGCTGGATTTTCTGCCCACGTCAAGAATGAACTAAATAAACTCAGGCAATTAAGCAAGCTCTAGAATGCATGCTTTGGTTCCGTTTTGCATTAAAATGAGTGAGAATGCCAAGCCCCCAGCAGGAAGCCTGTTAGAGGCTTAAGCGTGAACCCAAAACCACGCCGCCGCGGCTGTGGGGTTCCTGCAGGAAGGAGGAGGCTGGGTGCTGCCTGGGCGCAGGCTCACATCCTGCTGCACCTGCGCGAGCCTCGCTCACCTGCTCGGCCTCCAGGTGCACCCTCGATGACGGAGTCTCACTTAGAGTGGAACCGTTTAGCAGAACACGTAGCTGTGTTGGTGGTTTTATTTCAAGGTGAAATTTTTCTCCAGTTACTTTTCTTGAGGATTTATATCACATAGACCTGCAAAAGACAAGAAGTAGGATAGTTTTGGATTGTAACTTTTTAGAAAATCATTTGATGGTCAAGCCCCTAAATAACATTAAACAACACACACTGCACGGAGCTGACTTTAGTGCAAGTCTTCACATTGGGACGGTGGGGGGCCGCTGAGCCGAGGGAACCTGCCTGTGCTGTAAAACGTGGCCTCTTCACAGCACCCCGCTCTCGTCAGATGTGGCTCTGGGCTCCTCAGCGCCTGCGGTTTGGTTCACGACGTCCACGCCCATCTGTCTCCCTCCTCTCCCGCCTCAGGTGAACCTGGTCTCCGAGCACATCTGGTGTGAGGACTTCCTGGTGAGGAGCTTCTACCTGAAGAACCTGGGAACCAGCGAGACGCGCACCGTGACCCAGTTCCACTTCCTGAGCTGGTATGACCGGGGAGTCCCTTCGTCCGCACGGCCCCTCCTGGACTTCCGCAGGTATGACACGCGGCCAGCCGGCGGGGCAGTGTGCGCTGGGTGCATGCGTGCGTGTGGGCAATGCCAGGCTCCCCTGCTTCCGCACCAGCACCACGGAGGGAAGGGGAGCGCGGGGAAGGAAGGCTCTGTTAACTGCACGTGAGTTGTGAGCGATTTCCCAGTTTCAGAGCCATTAAAGTGTGAGGAGGAAGAGGCGTCTTAGAATGGTGGAAATATGGTCATGATTTTTGATAAGATTCTTCAACTCACAAAGAGCCCTAAAGTGTGTGTGTCACAAGACATTGGTGACTGAAGCTCAGATTTTTAGTTTGGCTTCTCATCTGGCTGCATGGGATGGACGATTTAGCGAGCGCAGGCTCAGACGCCACCCTGGGCCATCTTGGAGGAAAGCCTGGACACGGTTAGCCCACGGCTATCTATGTTTTTAGGGCTATTTTGAAACTGACCATTTTTTTTAAATCCAGTTTTTTGTTCATCGCCCCGGTCAGCCAGTCACCCAGTAAGCTGTCAGGGTTCAGAGCGTATTTATTGAACTGTTGAAATGAATGCTAGACTCTGTCTTACAGGAAGAAATTGACAATGAGAAGCAGCAGCCTTTAAGACACAGCTTTGATTGTGACAAACGGCTGGGCCACGCGGGCTAGGTAGCGGTGCTGAGTGAACAGACACCACAGAGAAAATGAAATTGTCAAGAGCATCAATGGCCGAGCTCTAAATTTTATAGAATATAGCTTACATTTAACTGATCAGAAGTCTGCCTGGTGAGGAAACTAGATAAGTATGAGACAAGGAGAGTGAGAGCAAAGCGTGTTTAGCCCGGCGCCATGCCGCTGTCACAGGGTGACTCCATCCGGACGGTGATTCATCCTGGGTCTACAGTTACGTGCAGGAGGGAGGGCGACAGGGCAGGACGGTCGCAAAGAAGGGGTTTGGAGTTCTCTGTGGAATTCTTCAAGTGTGTATTGCAGGTTCTGAAGCTTATTATTGTGATAATATTTCTTTTGCCTTTTAGTCTATGTTGAAAAGCAAAATATGGTTTTTTGCAATTTGAATCAATAGCGTGTGAAAGAGCCTCTCCAAGGAGACACAGGGACCCCCGCCTGCGTCACCCCCACCCCGGGACGCAGACCCCAAAACAGCTACTGTACACAGTTCCCGCCTCGCCCACCCCGACTTCCTGGCCATTATGCACATCTTCTCAATATAGATTTACTTCTAAAGACATACTATGCGGAAATCTTACATAATTTCCTGAAATAGGGTCTTCAAAACACAGTCATTCCTGGCAAAATGGATGTAGCCACAAAGACGGGAATTCCTCTTCACGCCCCGTCTCTGTGTTCATCCGTGTGTTTGCACATATATGCACATGGGCTATGTCCATATCCATATATGGACCGCAGCATACACATCACCAGCCCTCTGTGTTAACGATTCATCACAAAGAAAACTTGGATTCCCAGATTTCCCTTGCTCCAGGGTCTGAGGAGATACGGCCTAAGAAGGTTTTTGTTAAATTCAAAAGCTAATGAGCCCCAGACACGGTTTGGAAAGCCACGTCAGAGTAGGAAGCATTCACTACCTGCCTCACTGGGCACTGTCCAGCATTTCAGCCAAGCCGCCCTCCCTGTGTTACCTGGACAGTGGGCTTGGATGATCGCATTTTCAGGAAGCTTCACACTTAGACGCACATTTCGGGTGGCCGATTTTCTCTATAAAATAGCCACCCCAATTTCAGTGACCGGGAAGGTGAGGCCACTTCTGAAGACAGTGATCATCTTCACGCTCCAGGGTTTCTTATCTTTGAACAATAGACAAGGCATTCTCACTCTGGCCTGGCGCGTTCGCCAGGCACCGAGATGTGTAATTAAATATTTCTGGAGCCCAGAGGGAGCACATTTACACTTTAAAGAGAAACTGCTAAGAGATAATTAGCATCACATGTGAGGGCTTTGCTTTAAAAACTTCTCTCTCTCTCTCTCTCTCTTTCTCTCTCTCTGTATTACCCTCTCCCTTCTTGTGCCACGGCACGCACTAACGCTGCTCACGGTAAAATGGACAAACCCTTACCTTGCCAGCTAATTAGCGGTGGCCAGTGTCATTTTTGTGATGTTGCAGCTAGTAATATGAGCCCAGTTGCATAGTCACAAAAGTGATCATTGGAAACTGTGACTGCACTGCGGGGCACTGTGGGAAGCCCCTTTTCTGAGCCTCTAACGACCTCTGACCTTGCTTGCTGTGGGTTGCATGACGGTGCGCTCTCACCCGGTGACCGGGTCGGTTTGTATCACTAATCGTTCTTTCCCAGTGAACTCCTGTTGTCGAAGTGTCTGTAGTATCAACTCTTCTTACCGCTGGAGACTTCTGCTCACTGGCGCTCTGTTCTGATGGAGTCCCGCGGGGCGCTGTCACCTTCCTGAATAACCCGTGCTCTGCATCTTAGGTCAACCGGATGGGCTCTTGTGTTCAATATGTCGCGGTTTTGCCTCTCTATTTGTGATGCTTTGCGTGTAATAATACAAGTGCACAACCCTCTGTAAATAAAGTCCTGACCCATGCCACACCCTGCATCTACACTGCACGTGCCCTTGACTGCCTGTGGTTTTTGTAAGTAGATCGAGCCCAAGGCGGAGGCTGGTATGGATATGAAACTACAGTGAACGCTTCCCAAGGCCTGCCAAGGCCGCCAGCCTCACTGTGTCTGAGAAAACGGTACCTGACCTACATACACCGTGAGATGCAGACAGGAGTTTCAGGAGTGGAGAAGCAGGCTGAGGCCACCATAGCCACGAACCCACTCGCTAGGGGCGTTTCTTAGCCAGAGGGGTCATGACTGCATTTTGCCAGAGCAGGAGCTGACCAGCTGTCCGTGAGCCACTGCCGTCTACTGACTTTTGACGCTCCATTTCCTCAACCCAGCACAGTTTTTTACAGGATACCCGGCTGTGTGGGTTTGGGGTTTGGTGGTTTTTCGGTGCCGTTTTTTTGTGTGCTTGGTCTCATGAGGAAAAATGAGCAACCCTTGGTGACTGACGTGTGTGGACTTGCAGAAGCTGAGTTCAGGCTTTATGTAGCGTGTACCCCGAAGCGGGGAACACAGTGGGAAGTTGGAGGAGCAGAACGGAGGTCGTCCACATTTGCAGCATTCAGAGGCTGAGCCATGTCCAGCAAACTCCTCTGCCCAAGGCGAAAGGTCTTTCAAAGCAGAACCACTCACCATTTGTTCTGACAGTGGAGCCTGCTTGATCCTACACGTGGGCACGTGGGCACATCCGCGCTCACGTTACGCACGTGCACGCAGGCCCCACTGTCACACACATGCAGCCTCATGCACACACACACGGTCCTGACCGAGCCGGAGGGCCTCCCACCCTCACGCTGGGGTGCACCCCTGGGACCTGGCATCCATTCTGTCGTCAGGGGCCCTCGATGCTTTACAGCCTGAGTCAGGAATGGGAAATCGTAGAGGTAGACATAAACGGGTCTGTTTTCCAACCTGTTTATTCTCCAAGGACCAAGAATGTTCATGGCATTCTGGTGTAACGTGCTGTTGCCTTTAAAACATTCACTGTGCTGTCCCCCACCTGTTTCCAAAGCCGTCACACCACCTGTGCCCCAGAAGCAATAAACACCTCTAACAGACACCGTGACACGGCCCAGGGGGCCCTTGCTGGTTTGCCTACATCTGAGCCCGCCCCATCGTCCAGCATGGGTCTCGTGTTTCACAGACACAGGCCAGCACACATCGAGTGCACCCTGGCTGGGCTGCGGCGTCCCATCTGAGGTCTGGGATCTGCCGCTGTTCCTTCAGTTCCCACCGTCCCCTCCAGACTGGGGGTTCACACTCCCCCAGAAGGGCCTTGTTCTCATAACTCCTGAATAGGAGGCGAGGAGGGCAAAGCTCCACGGTTTGGGCTCCACCATGTTCCAGCATCCCTCAGCTCATCGGTCACTGGACACCCCTCCCCTCCCTCCACAGCCACCTGCCCCTCTCCGCTGCAAAGGTTTGTAGCAAAGCACCCAGTTGATGGAATGTTCACTTTCCACTGACTGTTTGGTGCTGAACAGGCAAGCCTTTGCAAAGAAACGCCACGTTCCCATTTATGATCCATACTTCCACTTTGTTTTAATTTGTTTCTTGTTGGAGTTCATGCAGCACATCCGCTCCCCACATGCTTTTTTCCAATAAACTGAGATTCCGTCTTTAATTTTACTTATTCAGAAATATCTCACAACTCATGGACTTCATAAACATATTTAATTGTTTCACTGAATTAAAAAAAAAAAAAAACCTGGGGTTTACAGAGTGAATTTTAAATCAGCCCTCTGTTTTGATTTAGGCGTTGGTTATGAAATCTTACATGTATGATCATAGCTAATTTTCACAACTTCTGATCTGGAATCTGTACAATGAAGTTGTTTGTGTAATCAAAGGTATAAACATGGAAAGGACTCATCTTGGACATCATAGAGGTTTCTCCATGATTTAGATATCCTTACTAACGCCGACAGGTCAAGAACAACCTTGAAGATGCTATTTTAGACAGTACAGAAATAACGGTTTCCAATATGATGTCTAGACTGTGAGAAATGTTGAGCATAAACTACAAAACTCAAAAATTTTAGCAAAGAATCAACATATATCGCAACGAAAGGTCAGGTCAACAGAAGCAGAAATAGAAAGAGGAGAGCCTGCAGGGATGGGTCGGGTGGGGCAGGCCAGAAGCCCACGGGTTCAAAGCCTGGCATCCGTCCTTGGAAGGAGAAAGCAGAGTAAATGTGTAAGACTTGGTTTTAAAGCTCCAATCAATAGCATCATGTTGAGAAGAAGAATAAATGTTTGATACTGTGTGTATAATTTTTATTTTCTCTGTCAAAACAAGTGATTGCACAATGATTTCAAAGACACCGGCTTGTGCTTTAATAGTTGTTTTGGATAACAGAGTCTTAGTACACAAGTATAACTTTTATATCTCTTTTTATTTCAGAAAAGTAAACAAGTGCTACAGGGGCCGTTCTTGTCCAATAATTGTTCATTGCAGGCAAGTACAACTTTTACTGGATTGAGAAGTCTTTGCAACTTCAAAAAATAATCTATGCAATTGAATATAGAAGCTTAACTTTCTAATTGCTTAGTAAATATAACTAGCACTGCTAAAGGAAAACAAGAATATGAACTTGGTTTTCTATGACATTTGGGTAAACACAGTCGGTCTTTGCTTGTATTATGCCTGTATAAACTGCACGTGGCTTTTTTTTTTTTTTTTTTGGAGACAGAGCCTTGCTCTGTCACCCGGGCTGGAGTATAGCGGTGTGATCTCGGCTCACTGCAACTTCTGCCTCCTGGGTTCAAGCAATTCTCCTGCCTCAGCCTCTTGGGTACCTGGAACGACAGGCATGCCACCATACCCGGCTAACTTTTTTGTATTTTTAGTGGAGACAGGGTTTCACTGTGCTAGCCAGGACGGTCTCGAACTCCTGGCCTCAGATGATCTGCCCACCTCAGCCTCCCAAGGTGGTGGGATTACAGGCGTGAACCACCGCACCCGACCTCACATGGCCTACTTCCTGGCCGCCCACAGTACATGTGCGGCCTTCTGTTCACACATGTGCACGCCCCGCCACCGTCCTTGTTCTTAAACCCTATGGCGTCATTAAACAAAGGCATCGAGACCGTGTTTTCAGCCTATCGCATTGCCTCAGCCGCCAGGACGTTCAGCAGAGGCTCGGACCGCTCTGCAGACGGTGAGAAGTGCTTGGGGCCAGCTATGAACAGGGACACAATCTGTCATTACAAGAGGGACAGCCTCCTCCAGTTTATCCTGTGGGTTCAGGCCTCTGGGTAGAAATTCAGTGACTCATATCCTTAAGTAGGTTAAAACTGCACCAGTAAGAATAGATTTTACTCAAAGAAAACTCAACCTAATAGAACTGTCTCTGCTGGACTGGATGCCCAACTATTTTTGGTGAGAAACTCACACTCCCTTTTCCTAGAACTGTCTTATGGAATGTTCTTCCTGCCTAGAATACAAAGGAAATCTGCCTGCAATGATGAAACACCAAGCCTGCCAGTCCAATCAGGAAGCGTGTGTGCCTGTAGAGGAGGGTGAACTTCCAATAGGGAAGCGTGTGTGTCTGTAGAGGAGGGTGAACTTCCAACCGGGAAGC